TGGGCGACTCACTGAGGGTAGGTTAACTAATTTGATTGGTTTGGAAGAACACTGAACAGATGTACATGTCCTTTACCTGTTAACTCACAAAATACATGAACACAAACTTTAAACCATGAATTTATAACACAGGAAAATCAGCAGAAATCAATAAATTTTGCTTACAACAAAGAAGACAAGTGATGTGAATGATAAATGTTGAATCAACTAACTCAGCTTAGCTTTCTGACATCAACTATAAGACAAGACCTCATTAATAATATAAACCAAACCCCTCCCCCCTCCCCAAATCAAACCAAACTAGAATTCTTCAACGAGGCTGTGTACGAAAAATAACATAAATCAAGATGAATTTTAAAATCTCACTTTATATTTGAGTATGTGGTGACTGATTATGACAATATTTCTGCGCTCTTACCGAGTTTGGCATCATTACACCTTCACAATATAAATCCTCAGCAAACTACTTTCATTTGTCTCATTCTGGTTGAAAATGACGTACAACAGATTAATAAATGACAGTGATTCTCACTAATAAGAACTATATCTAAACCTTTGGATTTTAGGCCAACGAAACTAAATTGTCATTTGAATAAATAAACATGTAGCAACTTCACAGACATTTTCTAAGTTCTCAATGGCTCTTTAGAACACTCGAGTTTCTTTCGGAAAAGTTTATAACTCTGGATTATTCCAGCCATTTTAGAATATATTAATGTGTGATTCCTAACACTAATATTTTAAAATGTATGCGTAAATATAATAATTAATATTTGAATATATCAACTAAAATTCTATATTGGTGTTAGTTATACTTCCTGTTGAAAAATAAGCTAGTTTTACACAGCTCCCGTTTATCGGACTCGTGATCTAAGTACAACGGGAGCAGTCATTTTCAAACATTTCTTCTTTGTCGGTCTCGCGAGAGTCTCGTTCTTTATAAGATATCTCATAAACTTTTCTTTATAAGATATCTTATATCTTTTATGAGATATCTTATATAATATATAAGATATCTTATAAAGAAAATTAATTGAGATATCTTATAAAAGATATAAGATATCTTATATATTATATAAGATATCTTATAAAAGATATAAGATATCTTATAAAGAAAAGTTTATGAGATATCTTATATCTTTTATAAGATATCTTATATCTTTTACAAGATATCTTATAAAGTATATAAGATATCTTATAAAAGATATAAGATATCTCATAAACTTAAAATAAGATATCTTATATGTTTATAAGATATCTCATATGTTTATAAGATATCTTATATGTTTATAAGATATCTCATATGTTTATAAGATATCTTATATAATATATAAGATATCTTATATAATATATGAGATATCTTATATAATTTGGTTAAGTACTGGATCAACATTGCTCCATGCATAAATGACAACTTGGCTTGCCAAATATATCTCATAAAGTATATGACATATCATTTTCGGTATGACGTGTTATATGGAACGGCAAATTGACATATATTCAATTAATTGTACCTTTCTTCAAATGATTGAAGATAGGTACAATTAATTGAAGATAGGTTCAATTCAATTGAAGATAGGTTCAATTCAATTGTACCTATCTTTAAATAATTTAGAAAAGGTACAATTATTTAAATGTATGTCAATTTGGCGTTCCATAATGTTAAGTTGTCTCGCCGTTGTACTTAACTGACTGCTCCAGAAAAAAGAAAATCAGACGTTATAATGATAACCTAAACCAAATAACAACACTTTGGCAAATTTTATGTAAAAAGTTGAAAAGTGTCAGATTGGAATTTTATTCCAAAGGTGGGTGATATAACAAGGTGAATGCAGACAAGGGGGATAATCTGAAACTGGCTGTTTTGTGACAAATGAAGGGCTACTGGCACAACTCGTCACACAATATTTATGCAATTGCGATTCAAATAGAACGAAATTAAGATATCTACTCGATCACAACTATATTGTGACCAGTGACTTGAAGCAATGCAAGACCCCAGTTTACTTATGAAAGTCCAGTGGGAAACTATATGACCCTGATATAGACCTGCTGTACAACGTGGGGATTGGAGATATGAAAAGCATTTTAACAAAACCCACCAAAATATGCACAGATCCGCTCAAAACAATCAAAATACCCAAATATACAGTGTAGCATGATCGACAAAAATCTACAAAATTATGTTATGCAATATTTAAAATATTTGGTTTTCTGATTGGTTGTTCGGTATTAATCCTGATATAGAAACCTACATGAAGAGGGATAACTCTTACAGTTACAGCTGCAAAGTGCAGTGTAATTCAGTTTTCGCATGTTACAATCGCACATGTCTTTCATGTTCATCTTTCGACGTGTTACATGTGTGTATATTAAATTTTCCTGGAGACCTGCAGCAGTGTGTATTCAAATATAATAAAATATCCAATTATAGATTTATTGATGCCAGTTTGAATATGACTAATCAATTGTTTTTCCTTTAATATGAAAGTATCGACCCTTCAAAATACCGAGATTTTCAATATATTGAAATATAAGATATATCAAACAATTAAAGTAATTATTAAACATATTGTCAAAATATCGATAAGAAAAAAATATCGTAACAATCTCAATAAGTTTAGTTCTCTCGATAAGTTGGAAAGTTAAATCTACGATACAAAACTGATTCCGCTTAAATTGTAATTCCAAGCATAATATATATCAGTACCCTTACTCGTTATGTGTAAAACATATTTTGATTAGCATGTTTAGAGTATTAGTAGTATTACTTATATGGGACTCCCATTTCAAGCCAGACCTGATGGTAATTCCTATACATAGTAAATATCGTTCATATGTTCTGAAGCATGACCATGAAGGAAAAGGTGATGGTACACAGTGTTTCTTTGCCTTTTGATAGAAAGAACTTGGCAGTTCCCCGTATAGAATACCATTTTCAATTTCTGATCCCTTTCACCTAATGTGCATCTTGATCTGATGTAAATGAACCTACATACCGGTAATTTTATCATCAGCAAAGAGTCTGATCTGTGATAAAATTCCATCAGCAATATCACTTTTAACACATACTGTGTTCTATCCTTCAGAAAATCTTCTTCAAGTATCTATAGGTATTAACGTACACAACAATACCATGAATAACTGACTTTGTCAAGAACCTTACTTAAATCCATAATAAGGACATCTGTTTGTTTATGTCACCCTGGTAAAATACTAGCCGCTTCTTACCGTCTCGGCTAGGGAGAATTTCTCTTTAGCTCATTCGGTAGAGCGTAAGACTAGTAAGCCAGAGGTCCCGGGTTCGACTCTTAGTAGAGGCATTGAAAAAATAATGACCTCTGTTACATTGGCGCCCACGTAGGGACCCGGGTAATATTGACAAAAATACTCTGCGATACTTGCAAAGGAATCTCTATGACCCCTAGAAAACTCGGGACGAGTTCTTTCTTAAAGGGGGAGTATGTCCCCCTGGTAAAATACTAGCCGCTTCTTACCGTCTCGGCTAGGGAGAATTTCTCTTTAGCTCATTCGGTAGAGCGTAAGACTAGTAAGCCAGAGGTCCCGGGTTCGACTCTTAGTAGAGGCATTGAAAAAATAATGACCTCTGTTACATTTACTTTGACTTTCACGGGATCTTAACTTTTTAAAATTATGATGAAATGGAAATAACTTATTACGCTAGTCTGCATGGTTCGTGATATCACTTACAATATGTGTTCCATGAATCTAGAGATATTTGGAATGCAATGCAAATGATTGGGGATAATCATATTTCAGTGGCAAATTCTTTAAGTACCAAAGCGCTGCTTTGGTGGTAGGAAGTTTTTGGAGTAGGTTTTCGATACCGTTTGATGCTATAGAAAAGTATGTGATCTCTGGGTACACTTTACTCTCAAACTTTAATCTTTCAAAATCATTCTGTCTCTGACTGGGGTGTTCACAGTTCCCCCACACTTTAGAGAACAAAGAAAAGTGTTGATATAGCAATAGAAGACAATGGCAAACCATTTATAGTCTGTTTCATACTTACCCCACAAGTAGCTTACCTGTGTGAAAGTTACCTGTCTGACTTGTAGCTGATATGTTAGGTGGGTTTTTTTATATATGAATTTCATAAGTTTTAATATATGTTAGGGGGTATGAAACTGATAAAAACAAAAACAAAAACTAATTGTCTGTTTATCATCAAGTGTATGTCCGATGTTGCCGAATGTGTAAGGCAGTTTACTTTTGACCAGAAGAAGTGTAAAGAGAGAACGTAAATGTATTTGGAAATGTTGGCTTCTGGGGCTGATTCACTTACAAGTTCTTCATTCTACATTAGAAAGACCACACTACTATAGTTTTCCATATGATTCTTGCAGAAAGAAAGAAGAATATCACCTCAAATAAAAAAAGTATGTCACAATAAGTCCAGCTAACTAGCTTATATCAATGTCTTAAATACATTTAGCATAGACAAAACAGATGGATTGTGTAAACACGTTTGTTAATGTAAATAATCAACTGCTGCTCAATAAATGAAGGGTTAAAACTCAACACCAATCAAAATGCAAACAAAAAAATCATTCTGGAACTATCGAGAATGTACATTTATTTGAAATTAAAAATAAAAATAAAAAGCATATACAATTAAATTTATTAGTTTACCCGAACATTGTGTGATGAAGGACACGAATGGAGAATCTTTAACTAATATAGTCTAATAATGCGAAAGGGGCGAAAATTTGGGACTAACTTAGATGTTACATTTCATCCGCTCAGTAATAATTATAACTACTGATGTTCAAGTTTACTGTACTGCGCCCTTCTGGTCAATAAAAAAACATGGAGAATGTTGTTGAAATAGTTCTTTTATTTTTTGAGTTGTTTTTCTGTTGACTTGTAGACCGTAGTTTATTTTATTTGTGAATATTGATAGTCCCATCACTGTTCCAGATTGTGACTATCCGGAGTATTATGTCCGTGACGGAATCAAAATTTAGATTAAACAAAGATGGATGCGCCCATAGGCGGTCATACACGAGAAATAGGCATTAGGTCTATCGAAGGTAGTTCATAGCAAAGCATGATGAATTAATACACACTATACCATGTATGTAAAGTTGATTTAAAATAACCTTACCCACCAGTTGCATACTTTATAATACGCCAATTAGTACCCAGGGGCATGTATTCTGGACCTGTTGACAGGTCACCTCTACCGATCCGAATATTTTGAAGTCTGTGATTATGGTCAGTTTTATCGGACTAAGGGGTTGGTCTTTAGTCAGAAAAAAATATATGGATACAATTATGGTAAAGAAAAAATTTGGGAACGAACACCTGGGATGAACTGACGAATGTGAGAGATGAAAATTGTAAGAAACTTGATAGCCTGAGTTTCCCCTGGCCCTTACACTAGCCCTTACAACAGACTTAGATATTTTGACATAAAGATATCTAAGTTTGGTGTTAGCGCCAGAGGAAACTCGGTCTAGAAACTTGAGAAAGGTCAGTAATCATTTATTTCAAACCACCTTAATAGACCGACTCGAATCAAGCACAACTACAATTTCTGTCTTTCTAGCTAATCTTTTATAAGTGAATTTAACTAAAAATAAATGATTTATTTTTTGTGTACATTTAAGTAGGCTATAACAGGGCTTCGTTACAAATATCTAAAATTCACATGTGCACATGTACACTATACTGACATGCATCACAGCACACCTAATTAGTATTAGCATATGTGTATTTTAGACATCTTTACTAAAATGTGAAGTTTTATATTTATTTATTCTAGACCTGCATGAATAAACTTCACTGCGTTGCATCAGACGACAAGATAGCATTACTCTTATAATAGAACTCAAACAACACCCAACATCATGACCTGGTGTATCCTGAGGGCACTCCGGGTTTCCCAGAGGAGGATCAAGTGGCATCAAATGAGACATGTTTTCAATGAAACAGGACAACTGGTAATAAAAGTATAAAGTCAGAAAGATATTAAGTGTATTCCACTTAACGCATCATACAATTGTAGTTTAATGCAATGTTTCTGTAAACATCATAATTCCATAAACCTGTAATTTTCTATATTGTATGTACCAGGTTTATAAGTTTGTTTCATATCATGTGATTTAACAATAATTCCTCTTAATATCATATTCAAGTATGGTCAGTTTCCAAAATTATTATGTAAAAAAAAATACCTGTTCAAGCTTATGCCTGTGATAACAGTATGTGGTGACTTTTCTTGTGATGACCTTAGCTTTGTGTCCATTTTAATATTTTGTTGAAAAACAAACACCATGCAAACAACTGGAAAGTGAGGAAAATCAAAGAATCAATCATGGTCAGGTCAGGGAATAGAATCCATGAACAGAGAAAAGGGGGGTCACCAACTGAGTCATCTTTATGTCCCCATGTTAACATGTATCCACTAAGGGCCAGATTGGCTCAACATATTACTGGTCCTTCTCCTCACTGCCTGTAGTATTAGAGTGCTATTCTGACAGCTGGTTTTACTGACTCTGCACATTATAGCTTAGTGGCTGTTTTCACTGGTTTAGAATCAAGACACCAATCATTTTCCCTATTGCTTGGACAAGCTTTAGGGAAACAGATGTTTTCAAGAGCTGGCAATATGAATGTCTAATTATTACTGTTTGTGATAAAAAAAAAACACTTGGCATTTATCAAACAGGGGTCACAAATCATCTGTGAAAAAATTATGTCCATTGTCCAGCATTGTGATATAAACTAGCACAAGGAGGATTTACAAGTAGACTAGATCGATGTATGAGCATTGAATAGATAAATCAGATTATTAATCATTTGGATATTTATGTCCAAAACTATGATAGGGGAGGTAACTCTGATTGATCTGCAATAATAAGTTTGATGCTACATATCACTTCTGAGATTTCAAATTTATCAGTATTGCATCTTGATTGCTTCCAAATAAAGGAAAGAGAATTTGACAGAGACGTTTCAAGGAAGCTGGAAGATTATTGGAAGCCACGGTTAAAAGAGCAGCATGCAAAGAGGTGTATTACTCCAGCGGTAAGTTATCAGAAACCAAATTGATTTAGCAGCATGTCAAGTAGTTCATTGACCGAAATTTGCATAACGATTTGTTGAATAATTTCATCTATGGCAATCATTGAAAGGCGCATAAAACTTACAAATCTTCTTTTAAAATTTCATATGCCTTACATGAAAATACAGTTGTCCGTGAAATACAATTTAGTGGAATATTTTTTTCAGACACTCATTGAAATAGTGTACATGTATGTAAATTTTTATATTTCTTGATTAATTATTCCATATTAGCCTTCTGTACATGTGTTTATAATAATGACTAAAAGGATAGAGTTTGCAGTTTCTTTGCATTGTCTGTATTTAACAGTTTGTTTACAAACTGCACCTTCGTAAACTTTTTGTATTGATGAGCTGTTTAAAAGGCTTTGAACGTGACATATCATATATGCTTTGTTTTCTCTTATCTTTGGTGAGAGAATTGAGAAGAATATTTAATGGTGAAGCTTATGGTCAGGGATCTTCATTCCATATCTTATATAGATAGGAAATTTAAAAAAAATGAATTGTCTGTTAACCCTTTCACCACTGTAGACCATAATGGACTCATCCATATTAATGCATGGTAGAGTCTACTTAAGTTACCTAGGGGTGAAAGGGTTAATAAAGTCAACTGCAATATTGAACTTTTAACGAAATAACTTGTCATTGTGTTCTTTATAACTGAAGGTGAATTTCTATTGAAATGTTGGTGTGTTGTATTACCTACAGACAGACAAGGAGAAGTACTATGTACTGTCCATGTTCCCATACCCGAGTGGTCAGCTACACATGGGCCACGTCCGTGTTTACACTATAAGTGATGTCATGGCACGCTTTCATAGACTCCGTGGAAAACAGGTACGGGAGATTTGAGGTGTGGCCTTATATATTGTAATCACAAATTGCAACCATTCAGATCGGAACCCAATCCTCAACATCAGTTCCCAGAATCGGGATAGATTTCAGATTAAATTTTAATATGAAAGTTTTTAAAAAAGATATAGGTACTGTCAGTCACATGTCAAAAAATGTTTTTACAAAGTAGTCGTGTACATGATGTTAATTAGTGATGGGCTGATGATCGATTATAATCGAAAATCCATCAGTTTGCCCTTTCCAATTCCAATTATCAATTACAAATTCCATAATTGATATAATCGTAATTTAAATGTCTTCCATGTAAAGTATGCTTTGAAATGCATATATTGACTTATGATTTATATTATATGATTAATAAAAATGCATAAAAGTTGCTTGATATCCATATATTATACAAGAACGAAATGTAATGTATAGTGAACAACTCTGCTTATTGATGTAATAGCAGTTTTCTCACTTTATTTGGGTGTTCAGTCCCATAAAATTATAAACCGATTATGCAAGTAATTGATCATTGATCGGTTTACCACTTCTGATTACAATTGATTATCGATTATGATTTTAAACCCATTGCCCATCACTATTGTTAGTAAAGAGTATTTCACCAAATCTGGATGCATTTCAAAAAGAGATTTGACTGACAGTTGAAAATGTTTAGGAACTTTAACTCATTCACCCCTGAAGACACATTTAAACTCTTCCAATTCAAAGGATGGAATAGTTCATTATGAAATTTCAGGGGTGAATGAGTTAAGTCTTCTTTAAATCTGTTTCATGATTCCCTGGCTGGACACTTAGTGTGTTGCTCAACCAAATGACCCTCTTTTCCCCTGGAAGAGATCAGTGCAATGTATTTAATACACTTATGGATATATTATGATTGTTTCCTTAACCAATAATATCTTGCTCACAATTATTCATTGTTTTACTACAAGTAGGTGATTCACCCGATGGGATGGGATGCCTTTGGACTTCCTGCTGAAAACGCTGCAATAGAAAGGGGGTTAGATCCAAAGCTCTGGACAACAACGTAAGTCTTCAGATCCTAAGGTCTGGACAACAATGTAAGTCTTCAGATCCTAAGGTCTGGACAACAACATAAGTCTTCAGATCCTAAGGTCTGGACAACAACGTAAGTCTTCAGATCCAAAGGTCTGGACAGCAACGTAAGTCTTCAGATCCTAAGGTCTGGACAACAACGTAAGTCTTCAGATCCTAAGGTCTGGACAACAACATAAGTCTTCAGATCCTAAGGTCTGGACAACAACGTAAGTCTTCAGATTAGCGTCTCAACTACATCCATCAAAAACTTATTTTATATGCGATTTGTTTTAGAGTTGTCTCCCATACATGTATTAACGATTATACCTTTAATTTGTGTTGGAGTTACAATACTTTCAATTTACATTAGCCTAACATTATGCACAGTTAATTTTACATAATGTTACCTGAGCATTAAAAATGCAGTCTTTCTAGCCTGTTAACTTATTTCCATGTATCTCATTTTACTGTAGCAGTGCACGGGATTGCTTTGTGTTGTAGGAACATTGCCAGCATGAAACAACAACTGGATGATCTGTTCTGTAGCTTTGACTGGGAGTCGGTATGTTTTTAAATCATTGTTTATTCCACTTAATATCTTGTGTTCTCAATTTTTGGGGATTTCTCCACAAATATCCAATTGAATATTAGTGATGCTTCAGTTTAATGCACACGTCGAGTCGTTTCAGGCTTAGGAATCAAAACTATGAATAACATGATTAATATGATTAACATTTGGTAAAGTATTTGCTTATGCAACTCAATGATCCTTTGACCACATCTGACAACACTCTTGTGTGGCCACATGATGCTGTTCTGGTAACAAATATTAATCCCTTTGTTTATGGTTACAATGTTTATGTTTTTGATGAAATCTTAAGGAAATCAATGCACATCATTATATTTAAAAGGCCTATGTCATATATCTGTTAATTTGTTCATCCAGACATTTTCCCTCGACTCAAAGGGTCAATGTACATCATTATATTTAAAAGGCCTCTGTCATATATCTGTTAATTTATTCATCCAGACATTTTTCCTCAACTCAAAGGGTCAATGCACATCATTATTAGCTCACCTGGCACGAAGTTGTCAAAAGGACAGTTTCCTTGTATGTTATCCTTGTAGATCTATAGTTTCACTTGTTATAGATAGACGTTTTTCCCCAAGTTTACTTCTTAAGTTTATGGGCTTTTTTTCAGGGACTTGTTATCATATATATAAATAAGAATGATCACTTGTGAAATTCTGTTTTATTATTTTATTGTTTTTCCTTTGTTATCTGATGTTAATCCATTTATGTTTGTATGTTTTCACAGGAGTTTGCTACTTGTCACCCTAGCTACTACAAGTGGACCCAGTTCATTTTCCTGAAAATGTATGAAGCTGGCCTGGTCTATCAGAAAGAGGTAATAAAAATGATTTTCATATTTGTGAATTGTTGGTTAAGTGTTCACACATATTTCATTAATCAGTAAACACTGACAGTATGGTAGGGAAGGGGGTGAAATTAAGGGCTTTGTAAGTGTACTGCTAATCATTAGATCCAATTAGGATCACATATCAGGAATTCCAGAAATCAGTTTGGTTAAGTTTTAATTTCACCTTTTAACAGCAAGAAATGGAGAAGATATTTGGGGTGGGATCATTTAGATTTTTACCAAAGAGACAGGAAATCAGACAAAAGTGGAACTGTTTGTATCACAATAAAATACCTTACAGGGTCCGTTAGCTTGATGATAATGTATACGAGAATCTTGTTCATCACCATTTTGTTTGTAAAGCAAGTCTTTAACTCATTGATCCCTGAAGTTTCATAATGAACTATTCCAACCTTTGAATTGGAAGGGTTCAAATGTGTCTTCAGGGGTGAATGAGTTAATAAAGGTGTGATTATGTAGTGTTATTTTATCAGAAAATGTAAATATAAGATGTTAAGTGACTGTGTTTAAAAAAAATGGAATCCAAGGAATATGAATTTAAATATAACCAATTTGAGAAAATCCTGAATTGTCCCATGGCATCACTACTGGAAATGAAGTTTCACAAATTTAGGTTTCCTCCTTTAACAAATAACTTGATCTGTTAATGCCTCTGAGCTGACATATCACAAGGGCATATATAGCCAGTGTCAGGAGCTGTTTGAATAGATCCAGGATATTTGGCTTGGACTTTTGACACAGCCAGAGGAAAAGAAACTTTTGATTCTGTTAGTGTGTGACTGACATATACTACTAAATTTTAAACTAAAACATGAGTACTTATTTCTTTTGGGGAACATTTAACTTTTTCACCACTGTAAACCATAATCGACTCGGCAATATCAATGCATGGTAGAGTCTACAAAAGTTACATATGGGTGAAAGGGTTAAGTGCCATAAAATCCTGAATAGATTATAAAAAGTTGATATTTATTACCTTGGGAATCCTGTTAAAACTTTAGTGATACAGGTAGATATAGCTCTCAGGTCTTTTGGTACTGTCCTTATACAAAATGGTGTTTTACCAAAGTAAATATTAATCTCCTTTTAGCCCGACCAAGTAGCTTTAACTCGTTATTTGGCCTAACCTCATCTATTAACTCTTTCACCACTGTAGACCATAATGGACTCACCCAGATGAATGTATGGTAGAGTCTACTAAAGTTACCTAGGGGTGAAAGGGTAAACCTCATCTATCTTTGTCTGCCGGTCAAATAAAAGAAATGAAACAATAACAAGTTAATATTATTATAGCACCATCTTACACTACAGTAAAATTATGTCATTAGTTACACTCCGTTAAAACGATGTCATTAGTTACACTACAGTAAAACGATGTCATTAGTTACACTACAGTAAAATGATGTCATTAGTTACACTACAGTAAAATCATGTCATTAGTTACACTACAGTAAAATCATGCAATTAGTTACACTAAAGTAAAATCATGTCATTAGTTAAACTACAGTAAAATGATGTCATTAGTTACACTACAGTAAAATGATGCCATTGGTTACACTACAGTAAAATGATGTCATTAGTTACACTACAGTAAAATGATGTCATTGGTTACATTACAGTAAAATGATGTCATTAGTTACACTACAGTAAAATGATGCCATTGGTTACAAAACAGTAAAATTATGTCATTAGTTACACTACAGTAAAATGATGTCATTGGTTACACTACAGTAAAATTATGTCATTAGTTACACTACAGTAAAATTATGTCATTAGTTACACTATGGTAAAATGTTGTCATTAGTTACACTACAGTAAAATGATGTCATTGGTTACACTACAGTAAAATTATGTCATTAATTACACTACAGTAAAACGATGTCATTAGTTACACTACAGTAAAATGTTGTCATCATTAGTTACACTACAGTAAAATGATGTCATTAGTTACACTACAGTAAAATGATGTCATTATAGGTCTCCTACAAGTAATTCTCTCCATCACTGCTGTAAAGTTTGAGTTTTTTAAGAGCAATTAAGCAACCTTTTGCTTTCAGTTATATATTTACATCACATGTGATATTGCTTGATTTGTAAGACACTAGATGTTGGAGACATTGATGCTGCTAGAGCTGATAAGTGAGGTAGTATTATTATTGATCAGGGGCAGGTTAATTGGGATCCTGTGGACAAGACTGTTTTGGCGGATGAACAGATTGATGAAGCTGGTCGGTCGTGGAGATCAGGAGCAATAGCAGAAAAGCGATTCCTCCGACAGTGGTACATACAAACCACTGCTTACACAAAGGTAATTCTCTTTATTATTACACCTGTGTTGATAAGTGATATTATTATTTTTTCATATTATTCCCGACAAGAGATTGGACAGGAGTGCATCACGTGTCCACCGATAAAAACCGATATTGACTTGGAGCGCGTGATTTTTGTTGAAGGACTGGGTGTTTCTAAAAATAGAATTATGACGTGTCTCCAAGCGAATGCATCGTCCTGCTTCTGTAGATTTTTGCTGTGATTTTTTTTCAGATTGCTACAGCAACATTACTCTTTTGAAAATAATAAAACAATTGTAGCCTTTGACTTTGGTCGATACCTGGATTTATTGACCCGAGAAAAGATATATTGACCTCGGACTGCGTCCTCTGTCAATATATCTTTTCTCGGGTCGATAAATCCAGGTATCGACCTCAGCCAAAGGCTATATATAATTGAATATTATTGTTCATTATTTGGGACATGATGGATGTTTTATCAAACTTGTAGTATATCAACTGACGGATAATATTTTGTTACACCTGTATTGTAGGACTGATTTATAATATTTCGTTGCACCTGTATTGTAGGACCTGATAGATAATATTTTGTTACACCTGTATTGTAGGCCCTGATAGATAATATTTTGTTACACCTGTATTGTAGGCCCTGATAGATAATATTTTGTTACACCTGTATTGTAAGACTGATAGATAATATTTTGTTACACCTGTATTGTAGGACCTGATAGACAATATTTTGTTACACCTGTATTGTAGGACTGATAGATAATATTTTGTTACACCTGTATTGTAGGCCCTGATAGGTAATATTTTGTTACACCGGTAATGTAGGACTGGTTTATAAAATTTTGTTACACCTGTATTGTAGGACCTGATTGAGGGTCTAGATGAGGTGGACACTTCCCTTTGGAAGGACATTGTACGCATACAGAAGGACTGGCTTGGAAAATGTGAAGGCTGTAGACTCAACTTTGATATCAGAAAAGTACTTTGTACAGGACGATTATTGTTAATTTAGTCTGTGTTCATACAGACATTGAAAAGTGAAAAATTCTTCAATCATATATTGTTTTGTTTTTTTGGTGTTTTTTAAACACTGGGAATTTTTTCCCTTGGAAAAGTAATTGAAATGGAAGAAGACTCAAGTTCATCGAAAACAAGCCCATTCAATGAACTTTCTCAGACAATGCCAATTGATACTGTGCATAAGAAAACAAAATTAGCTACAATAATATTGAATGTTAGATTAAGTTTATAACAGCAAAGGAAAATAATGTGTTAAACTGTTAATCCACTTTATATTAATTTAGTGTTTGGTAAAATTTCTCATTTTTTTTATTTTGAAAAGTGCCTCTGCATGAATCTTACTAACAATTTTATCGATAACTGAGCCAGAAACTTTTTGTATTTTATTTTCAGGGGGAAGAGAAACTTGATGAACCCTTAATAGTATTCACACATAATCCTGAACTTGTGTATGGAATTTCCCACATAACTCTGTCTCCCTCCCACAGACTCAACACACCAGAGAACTACAGGGTAGGTTACTTGTAAGGCTGTAATAAAAAGGATTGTTTGTAAGTGATTGTGTGGTAACATACATTTGACTGTATAACCAGCAAATACATTATACTTTTACAGTACGGTATTAACAGGAAAACTTCACAAGTTTGAAACAAATTTTCCCTACATTATTTTTAATACTGATATCATTAAAAGAATAATTCCTGCTAGGTAAAAACCTTGCCAATAAATTTGGTTAATTAGGAGAGAAAGAAAATCAGAAACAACAGAATTGTTTTGGAAGTTTATTCAGATGCTTTCAAAGTTATTTCAGGATTTTATTTACAAATAGTGTTCAATTTTGATTCATGGATTAGATAAAATTTCCTTCCCAGAAATTGGTTCATAAACAAGTTTATCCCAAGTTGAAGAGGTTCATATGTACTTTGAACTGCAGTCTGATTTTAAAATACTTCAACAGCATTTAATAGTCATCTGTAATTTAAAAATAGTTTTTGAATTTTTTATTATCAACTTTTTTTCTCTTTTTAGAATCCACAGGATGGTGAGAAGAAAAGTAAGTACATAGGATTTGTTTAACAATATCTCAAACTGTAATAAATCTTCAGACATTTTACAGATCATTACACAATTATGGACTTCAGGTGAGGTCTATCCCTGATTTACAGACCTGGTCTGAACAATATTCACTGAGGCCAAAGGCCGAGGTGAATGTTGTTCAGACCAGGTCCATATTTATTTTAATCAGGCATAGACCGAAATTGAAGTCCACAATTGTTTTATTACATAACATTTTACAATGAGATAAATAATTCTTTATGTCATAAACACATGGATGGCATGGACCGTTTTTGAATCACAGATTGAAGGACTTCCAATTAATACCAAATAACATACATAATTTCAGATTCAATTGATGTGATATTTAATTTCAAATAATAATACCTATTATTGATTGGTTAACTAGTCCATATGTATAGCAATTGGCCTTCAATGAAGTCATCACAGATACATGGTCCGTTTCTAAAGTGACAGAAGTTTATTGGGTCATCTTAGGCTCAGGGTCTTTTTGTGAAATGACTGGCCTAAATTGGAGTTGTCCCAGGTTCAGCCGCGGTGACATTCTGCTACCACTAACCCTCCACCACTGGGTCACGGGTTCGAGACCTAGCTAAGTTGGGCAGTCGCCAGGTACTAGCCATAGGTCGGTGGTTTTTTCTCCGGGAACACTGGCTTTCCTCCACCACCAAAACCTGGCACGTCCTTAAATGACCATAGCTGTTAATAAGACATAAAACACAAACAAACCAAAGTCCAAGTTTCATAAATTATGATTGGTTCAAAAAGCTTAAGGCAATCAGTGAACTCTTAATGGTCTGTGTTTAGAGTGACTGGCCTTCAATAGAATTTTACTTACAGGTTCAATGTCCTTTTGTAATGTTACTGGAATTCACTGGAGTCAACCCAGATCAATAACATTGATACAATCTAAGGTTGGGATGTTACAGAATCTTAACCAAAGATTGAGATAAACCCATTTCACTCAGTCATAGGTAAAAGATTTTTTTCTCGCACCTTTTTGTTTCAAAAAAACCTTTCAATTTTGCCAAAGTTTACAAGTATCCAATTTGCGGCCTCAACTATTATAAATATGACCTCTACACTACTAAAGCTACATTTGAATGCTTCTGTGAAAAAATGAGGTTCATCCTTACAAAGAAGACAACATATTTCGACATGTAGATTATATTTTATCTACAACATCAGATATCTAACTACATTAAAACAATACATATAATGACAAACCGTGATATTTATAATGTAGATTGTCAATTTTGTACCTTTAACTCGCAGATGAACACGTGGCTGTGTAAAATTTCGGCGAAATGTCACATCAAGGTACCAGACAGATCGGACGAAAAATAAAAATCTAGCATGGGGTATGACGTGAGATATCTGGCTTTCTCCCACCACTGGTCCTGGTGCTTACACTATACATATGTAAAGTTAACAAAAAACATTATAAAACATATATACCTGTGTATATTCTATTAAATTCTACTTACAGGATTTGTTCTGAACCTGCAAGCAATCAATCCGTTCAGTGGGAAGACAATCCCTATAGTGGTGTCTCGTACGGCGAGATTTGATGAATACAGTGATGCACATTTAGGTAATTATTTTCCATTTAACCATATTGTACCTCTAGGATAGACAAAAAAAAAATAAAAAAAAAAATGAAGGAAAAATACTGAAAATGTCCAAACATATGCTGACCTCATCTTAAGTCTATTTTTGATGTGTTGATGAAATTTTATATCAAAAAGCATTGTAAGTCTCAAAAAGATTGTGAGGCATTGGTATTTCATAACCATGAAAAAGAAATATTTATGAAAAAAATAATTGTTCAAGTCTTATAAACCAGTAACAGAAATGTAATTTACAGAAACATGAACAAATGATAGTGAACTTAATACAAAAAACAAAGATAACAATTTTCATCTATTATAATTTCAAGCAATACCAGATATCTCAGAACCTGACGGCCTTGTAGCCGCAGAACTGGACATACCTGTACCCAGTGTACTGACCAGTGATGGTCAGCAGGAGACACTGGTCAACTCGGCTCAGGTATGGTTCTTATTGGTAGTAGAGTATGATGTTCATGAGACATTTCCTAGTTTAAGAACACAACTGTCAACTACCAACAACAACTTGCAATAACTTTAAGTGAATTAGTAGCTAACATGTTTTACTGTAGAGTGTATCTTGTCAAAACATTTAATATCAAAGATGTAAAAGTCTTACTTGAATTGACAAATGAGTTAAAAGAATTAATTTGATATACCTTCCTACTAAATATCATTCACCAATCTCTGGTCACAATAGACATTTTTGCATTTCACTCGTGCAAATATATGAATATGAGCAATATACTGTGCAATCTAAGACTCAGATGAATTTGTATAATATTGCCAATGTGTACAGTCATATGTATTTTTTGTGAATTGAAAATAATATGACATTTTGATATAAATGGATTTGAATTTGTTCACCGTCCTATTTTCCTCTTTTTGTTCAGATATCATTTGTTTTCTATAATAGAGTACTTGGTTATAGTTTTCAGGGTTGAACCGAAGTGACGCTTTGGAGGAAATTACGGCTCATGCCAGGGTTGGTACCACAACATTATTTGCAGTTTTTACTCTTAAAAATCTCTCCACCAATGTAATAGAAACAGAAAGCTGAATTTCTAACATCTTATTAATATTGTAAAACAGCAAATGTTTGCTCCCATTCTAACTTCATGATTTTCCTAATGACTGAATCGTATTAATATGAATAGCAGTTATAGTGAGTATATATGGGTGAATTCAATACTGGGAAGGTAGGTTTAAAATGTCAGAAGGCGGGGATTTAGTTGATGCAAAAATTATAGGTAAAAGTTTTAAATGTCACAATATAAAAGTCAGAAAGTGCAAAAATATTTAGAATGGATAGATTAATTGCTAATTAATAAAAAATTCTCTTGATTCAATTGATGTTACAGAAAAAGCGCTTTGGAGGTCACATGTGCAGTTCCAAGCTGAATGATTGGTTGATATCGAGACAGCGTTACTGGGGGACTCCCATTCCTTTGATCAAATGTCCCAAGTGTAAGGTGAGAGAAATATACTAGCTGAAATAGAATAGTAAAAATAGACTTAGATAAGATTTAAGTTGGTGTCATATTTTTACAGTGTTTTTTGTCCACCATCACAATGTACATCTGTTGTTGTGTGTCACAATGTACAACTGTTGTTGTGTGTCACAACGTACAACTGTTGTTGTGTGCACCAATGTACAACTGTTGTTGTGTGTCCCATTGTACAACTGGTGTTGTATGCAAAAATGTACAACTGTTGGTCAGTGTCACAATGTATAACTGTTGTGTGTCACAATGTAAAACTGGTGTTGTGTGCCACCAATGTACAACTGTTGTGTGCAACAATGTTCAACTGGTGTTGTGTGTCACCATGTACAGCTGGTGTTGTGTGTCACCATGTAGAGCTGGTGTTGTGTGTCACCATGTACAGCTGGTGTTGTGTGTCACCATGTAGAGCTGGTGTTGTGTGTCACCATGTAGAGCTGGTGTTGTGTGTCACCATGTACAGCTGGTGTTGTGTGTCACAATGTACAACTATTGATCCGTGTCACAATTTACACATGTTCTTGTGTGACACAATGTACAACTGTTGTTGTGGGTACCAATTTACACATGTTCTTGTGTGTCACAATGTACAACTGTTGTTGTTTGTCACAATGTACAACTGTCAGTGTTGGTCTTTGTTACAATGTACAACTGTTGGTCTGTGTCACAATGTACAACTGTTGGTATGTGTTGCAATGTACAACTGTTGGTCTGTGTCACAATGTACAACTGTTGGTCTGTGTCACAATGTACAAATGTTGGTCTGTGTCACAATGTACAACTGTTGGTATGTGTTGCAATGTACAACTGCTGGTCTTTGTCACAATGTACAACTGTTGGTCTGTGTCACAATGTACAACTGTTGGTCTGTGTCACAATGTACAAATGTTGGTCTGTGTCACAATGTACAACTGTTGGTCTGTGTCACAATCTACAACTGTTGTTTTGAGTCGTTATGCACAAATTTTGCTGTGTTGTCACAATGTACAAATGTTGCTGTATCGTGTGTCACCTGTTCAATCAGAGATTACTATATACTCTAATTACTAAGTTTGTTTTGAATTGACTCTATACTCTGTTCAGTGATCACTTCAACATATGCCAATGTATTATCACAGAATTGTTCAGCTTTTTGAAAAGGTTGGAAAGGAAGATAACTCCTAGGGGGAGGGAATGGTTGGATTATGCCCTTTGCAGAAACGCCTTCATTTCAAATTGAAAAGAAAGTTCCTTTGACAACACTAACATTTCTGTACATGCGTAATTTTCATTAGATTCATATTCATATTTCTTTACAGAATGTGCCTGTTCCAATAGAAGACCTGCCAGTGGAGTTACCTACCCTTCCTGGTACCACAGAGAAGGGGACTTCACCCTTAGCTCAGGTGTCGGACTGGTATAACATCAAATGCCCAAAGTGAGTTGTCAAGACCACAGTGTTTTACAAGTGGTGAAATGATACTCTCAAAACCACAATTTATTTCATTTTATTTTTTATCTATTTAAGCTTAGTAGATAATTGCTGCTTCAGTATCAGACCCCTTTGTGAGCCTAATTACTGATATTGGTCTGTTGTTGATCAGTCATATATTTATTGTATTTAACAAAGCAGAGCATTTCATCAGTGGATCTAAACTTTCACTCACACCTCTTTTTCATGTAGCATTTGTCCCGTCGTTTTCCTTATTGGAAGTGTTCCAATGAGTTACAGGAGATTGAATAGAGGTATTCTGAAAGAACTAAACTAGTAAAGGGTACTCAATGTCATGAGGTATTCACCATTTTATTACATGCTTACTATGGATGGATCAGCAAAGCGCTATATGTTACTATTGCATCAGTGAAATCGGGAAAATAATTAGGCTACGTGATACATTCATACTGTTTTCTTTTCCATTTATTTTATGTAAAATAATTCCTTCAGTAAAGTCTGAATCTTGTTGTGTTCTTTTAGAAACAAAAGTATTTTCACTAGCTATTTTCTATGATTTCATTTCAACAAATGTTATCGACAAAGTTGTTACAAGTGAATTGAATGGAATAATAGGCAAAGTCTATAACAATTCTCACCAATGGTGGCTAAAGTAATGGACTATTGAATTCAATTTTGAAAAAAATAAATAAACACAAAAGTTAAAGGGATGCAACTCGTTCTCAATTAACATAATTGGAAAACAAATACATTCACACTTCTCACATCACATACAGAACACTTTTACAGCTATTCATTTTTTATAACATTTTATATAAGCTATCAAGTGACACAGTTATTGGCAGACATTGACCAAAAGTCCCTGTATTTTCTATGATATCCCTTTGTTTGTTGTTGGACAGATGTGGAGGGCCTGCAACACGGGAGACGGATACCATGGATACCTTTTTGGATTCTTCCTGGTACTTCTTCCGCTATCTTGACCCTCAAAATGATGCTGCACCATTCAGCAAAGACAAGGCTGACCACTTCATGCCTGTCGACCTCTACATTGGTGGCAAGGAACATGGTAAGTCAAGGTCATCCAGGATGTCAAGGTTGCTGTCTGTCACAAGGTCACTTTCAAAGACAAAGTTATAATTATTTCAATGACACTATTCATAATTCACTATGGATAGCTAAGTCATTTGAAATGGGAGGTCTAGAGGTCAACACTTATATCTAGGTTGCTGAGAGTGACAATTACGAGGCTAATGGTCATATCAAGTTGCCATACCATTGCAAGGTTACTGGTCATGTCAAGGTCACTGTGAACAATAAGGTTATTGCTGATTTCAAGGCCAATCATTATTGTAAGGAAACTTTTGATTTAAAATTCACCTTGAGTGTCAAGTTCTGTAAGAAAATAAAACTTTTAAGGGCCAATGAGTCATACTGGTCAGCATCTACCTCAGTGGCTTTCATGTATGTTGAAGTCTTGTTATTGGTCATCATTGTTGTTATGATTTCTCTGTATGATACTTCAGTGTCTTGGTTTTATTTGTATTGGGTCTAACATCATACTAACAGCTGAAGTAATTTAAGGACTTTTACTTGATTTACTAAGACTTATTCAGTATGTCTGGGATCATTGGTAGATACTTAAAGGGAGACATTTATGACGGGTGCCACATGTGGTTCAGGAAGTGCCTGCCCTTACAGATCTCCCGGTATTGTCTCTAGTTTTTAGTACGAGTACATGGTGTTTTTTTAATTCGTTTGTTGTCTTTCAGTTCTTGGCTTTGAGTTCACATTTTCTCATTAGTCTGTGTGTTGATGATATGGAACTTTTTTTTATCTCTATTTAGGAATGAAACAGAGCATAGAAGATCAAGGTCACAGAATAAATAATTTACGTCCGAGTTTTAAAATCTGTATCGCTATGATGACTTTACGAATAGTTCTGACAGTACATGTAGTTGATACCTTGTATTTAACTATTGTAGTTAACTATTTATCAGGGTTCACACAACCAATAAGATACCAATATCAGCACTGTACATACAAACAAGCACACTCTATCAGAGAATCTTCATGGAATATGTCTCAATCCTTTAGGTTATTTTTTCCAGCTGTACTGCATCTTTTCTTCGCCCGCTTCTTCAGCCATTTTCTACACAATTCTGGACATGTATCGACAAGAGAGCCGTTCATCAACCTGCTGACCCAGGGGATGGTTCTGGGTGAGAGTTACAGTGTGGACGGCCGGTATATCTCAAAGTCCAATGTAGACTTTACTGGTAGGTACCTCTAGACTTACTTGTGTAGTGTATTGTGGGCCTGGGTGAGAGTTACAGTGTGGACGGACGGTATATCACAAAGTCCCATGTAGACTTTACTGGTAGGGACCTCTAGACTTACTTCTGTAGTGTATTGTGTGCCTGGGTGAGAGGTACAGTGTGGACGGACGGTATATCTCAAAGTCCCATGTAGACTTTACTGGTAGGTACCTCTAGACTTACTTGTGTAGTGTATTGTGGGCCTGGGTGAGAGTTACAGTGTGGACGGCCGGTATATCTCAAAGTCCCATGTAGACTTTACTGGTAGGTACCTCTAGACTTACTTCATCAGTGTATTGTGTGCCTCGGTACAAGGTGTTAGGCTAACATTATTTTTTTTATATATATATAACGTGCATGTTCCTATTCACAGCAACAGCTAAAGCATATAAAGGGTCACTCCACATTTTGATGATTCCTCGGAACCTAAAACTTAAATTTATCCCAGGAATGATCCTTCCGAATGACAATGGAACTCCTAGTGAAGCTGCTTTCATATTGTTTATATGACCCGACTAAACAGTTTAAGGACTGTCAATACTTTCTGCTCTTTATGAACACATAGATAAAGCATGCAAGTCTTTAACTGCCCCAACCCTCTTTGTTTAGACTTAACTATAAATTACCATTCTTAAATCATCAATACGCAGTGAAGATGAATATTAAGAGAAAATTGACTAAATTGAGTACATGTACTTCAAAAAGTAATGGAGAAAGGTAAAGATTTAAAGGAAATTGCACAATATTTAATAAGTGTTTGGAAGGATATCGTTTCACTAGACAGCGAGTAAAAAGGAGTGAAACAGGAAAGAGAATAGTGTGCTTCCACCGGGGATCGAACCCTCGATCTCCAGGTTCCTAGTCGGACGCTCTACCACTGAGCTAAAGGGAAATTCCCTCTAGCTCGAAGCTAGAAGGCGACCTTAATCCTATGTACAATTGAACCCTGCCACACTACTCCCCCCTTTTTAAATGTGTTCGCCCTCGAACACCACAACCCAGGTTCTAACTCCCTGTCACCACAGGGAGGGCCACGGACACCATTTGTAACAGGAAAGAGAATAGTGTGCTTCCACCGGGGATCGAACCCTCGATCTCCAGGTTCCTAGTCGGACNATAAGGGAAATTCCCTCTAGCTGGAAGCTAGAAGGCGACCTTAATCCTATGTACAAGTGAACCCTGCCACAGGAGTTATAAATTCATTTTTTAAATAATATTATATGTTAAAATTAAAAATGCCCCATCTACACTTACCCAGGGTGCTTTATATGGTATACATAAGATATGTGACAGGGCTACAGGTGGTGAAACTATATATAAATTACGATTTATATGTTAATTACAGGGCAACAGTTAAGTTATTATGATATACATGTTACAGGGCCAGCTCCAGTTGAGAAGAGTACGGGACAAAAGGTGCTTGTACAGTGGGAAAAAATGAGTAAATCCAAGTACAATGGAGTAGATCCACAGGTAAATACCAACACACCTGTCTATCGTTAGGCAATATATCTCTTAATGTTATCTTCTAGGCTTAGTGGGTCTTGCATTGGCATTCACTATGGGAGTCGAAATCAGAAAAATTCTCTATGTCTATCTGTTCAGATTTTTGTCAGTCTACCATCTTTATCCTTAATTGGACCTTAATTGGATGTGAACAAAGTCTTTTACAAGTGTTCAGTACTCTGATCTCCTGAACAATCTGCATTTGAAGGTCATGACTATCAAGTCTGCATTTGAAGGTCATGACACAATAGTCAAGGTATATCACTGAAACATGTTGAAGAATATGTGTTTCTACATCCTCAGCCTAAGGTCAAGGTCACAGTTACGATTGTGTGAATAGAAAATGTTTTTTCATTACCTAACTATATCCTCACATTTTATGAGATTTAAATAGTGAATATATATAAACTTAACGTCATGCTTGATATAAGGGAACTGTAGGGGAGTAATACATGTTCTCTCCGAGTTTTGTTGGCTTTCTATAGGTAATGCTGTTAAGTTATGGAGCTATTTCAAAGCAATGATCAGTACTTTGATTTAATGTTTTACAGGAGATCATTAAGGAGTATGGAGTGGACGCAACTCGTTTGTGTATACTGTCTAATGTGGCCCCAAAGTCTGACCGCAAGTGGACATATGAAGGTAAGCTCCCCATAGCCAGCATCATTCTGGTGAAAAAAAAAAAAATTTGTTTGCCTGGTATTTCTTCTGTTATACTTGTTGGAAGTGAAAAGCATATGTAAATACCACTATACGGTGTGATAAGAGGTTCACTGATAATCACAACCATCATAAATTTGCAGTTATCAGGGAGATGGAAAAAGGGGAGAAAATTATATTCAACAAATATTTTTCAGAATAAAACGTCTGGGTGCTAAGTTTTATTGTGATGATCATATTTTTCATTTTTTCTAGGAAACGACAGATTCAGATTGTGGAAATTTCTATAGAAGATGAATTTTGAATTTTCAGTGTTTAAGGGTGTGATGGCCTGGCAGAGGCGTGTATGGGATACAGTCAACAGTTTTATACAGGGCAGGTCTCAGAACATTCCTCTCCAGTGTGACCCACAAAAGTTCAAGGAATACGAAGACACTATTTACAACTTCCATAATGAGTGCCTTGTCAGGGTAAGAATTAAGGATTATATCTTAAATTTTAGCAAGGAAATTTGACTGTGTATTTATACTCATAGCTTCTGCAGATACAGATGATGAGATCTATACATTGTAATTGACAATACTGCTTTGTTTACAGCATTAAACACATATTTCTGACTCATGAGAGAGGATAGGCTTATAACAGAACAATGCAATGGTGTGAATTTACAGAGAAAATGTTATCCTCCTGCCCTCACAACTTCTTTAACCCAGATTGACTATAGAATGGTCTGGGTTGATGCTACAATGTCTGTGCAGTATTTTTCAAATAAGGTGGCAGGGGTGGGAAAAATACAACTGAAAGCATTGCCCCACTGTGAACCAATCTGATTAAAATCATATGTTACATGGCTTCGTTAACTTCGTACTACGCCTGAACATTTGAGTGTGCCGCTCTCAGGGTCACGTTCAGGTGACCTTTATATTTATAAATACTCATTAAATTTTGACCAATCAGAGACCCTCTTTCAAAAGGGCGCTCAGAGATGTAACAAATATGTCGGACATTGATGAGAATGATGCGAAAGTTCTGAAGTTATTTGAGATTGATCGTCTGAAACCCGAACAGAAAAAAAAATCGAAGCTTTACTAGAGAAGAAAGACTGTATGGTGGTGTTGCCTACGCAATTATTACCCAATGGGTACGTTTTCATTGGCGTCGTAGAAACGTCAGTTCCCGCCGCCATATTTGTTTTGGAAAACTAATCTGTTCGATACCCCTCGCTATTTATCTATCAACCATGATATTCCGAATCGCTGGCAAACTTTTGCCAGCGCGCCTCTGATTGGTTCATCTAAAAGTCACTTGAACGTGACCCTGACCGCGGCACATTCACATGTTCAGGCGGAGCCATGTAACAGATGATTTTAATCAGATTGACTGTGAACAGAACACAAATGTCCTCCAGTACACAAAGCGTGGATGTGGAGGTATTAGTCATGTGGCAAGGACCAGTTGTCAGTCCTTGAATAGGCAGCTCGTACAACTCCTATCTAATGTCTGCATTTTCTTGTATATCAATGTATTGTAAAGTGCCTTAACCCTTTCACACCTAGGTAACTTTAGTAGACTCTACCATTTATTGATCTGGATGAGTCCATTATGGTCTATAGTGGTGAAAGGGTTTAAGTGTAAATAAAATTTGTTGCTTTCATTTCTTATCCAGATAACAGAGCAACTGAGTCAGCAGTTTATGATCAATGCAGCCATATCAAGGTTACACCGTCATGTGAAGAATTTTAAGGTAGGTCAATTTTCACACACTTGTCACGATAATCAAATGAGTTGTTAATTTCTAAAATAATTTCAGTTTTAGTTACCTTGCATATATTCATCAACAGAGCTGAAATGCATTGATTTGACATCCCAAATAACCTGGATATTAAAAACCTTTTTTTCTCTTGTTTTTTTTCACTTGGTCTCATCATCTTTTTGAATTAACAAAGCATGCATGATTGTATGGTAAATAAATGAGGCATGAAAATATTGCAAAATTTTGTTCATTAACTGATTAATGAAATTTTCTGTCTTTTTTTAAATTATCATGTTAAAAGTATTTTTTCTGTCAAAAGAGTAAAATACCATTTCTTTGTTCCGAGGATTACTGATCAGTTTTGATGTTTTACACCCCCTTATCAGAAGGTACCAGTAGATGTACTGGCGCATAGCCCACAGGCAGAACTAGCCCTGGCAGATCTGATCATCATGTTATCACCAATGGCACCAGCTTTCGCCTCAGAGCTCTGGACTGCAATGAAATCCCAGGCGTCAGGACGGACCCACCATAAATGGGTCAGTACCGCCTTTACTCAACATTTCAGTGATGCACTACAGACATGAAAGGTTTTATGTTTTTCTTTTTGTTTTACTATTTTGTTCTGCCAAGTAACAGGGTAGGGTACATATAAAATCTTTGAAAAACTAGACAAACAAATTTCAATGATAGGCAAATATTCAAATTAAAATGTCTTGGAGGAATATATAGGGGCATACACGATTTTTGTGCTTTATTGACCTCATAATTGTATTAGAATTTTGGCTGTAAAGGCCTTGTTGTTAAATTAACCATGTCCTTGTATTAGCCTCATGCTTACATTGAAATTTTGGCTATTCAAAACCTATGATTGTATCAATCTTGTTTTATAGACTTGATGTTCTATTTATTTCCTGATTTTGTTTTAATACTTACATGTGTATCGATTGATGGTGTTGACGTTGTGGTTACTTGTACCTTGTATCTTGTTTATCTCCCGAATGTATTTGAATTTTGTTACTTGAGTTATCGTAATTTCTTTTGTACTGCCTGCAGCTCTTCAGGGTTTTTTACCATGAAAAATCCCCTCAATGGGTTATCTGATGAAGTGGCCACTGCAACACAATGCTTTTTAAAAAACTTTTAAAAGTGCGGGCTAAACAATATCTTTCAAATTCAAAGTCATATACATCTGGAATTATAAAAAAAAAAAAAATATCAAAATTATAGAAAATCTCAACATTTATTATCAGTATGTGTATGGAAAGTTGGTTTATATTGGCTCTGTATTATATTGTCTATGTGGAGTACTAGGAGTGGCCTTGGCTGTTTATATCAGGACAATGAATGGCGTTATTGGTATATCAAGGGTATATAAATATAAACTTTATATATATTACAACAATTATGAAACAAGGTTATCAAGGGTATATGAAGTAAAAAAAATCGGAAATAAATCTAAATAGAAAACATTCATTGTAACATATCCAGATAAGTACAGTGAGAGTTTCATGTACCCGGAAGTGAACCTTGTATTCATTACGTATACAGTGTAATACCAAGGTAGTAACCTGTGGGCAATCTTCAGGAGGCAGCAATCTGCATACTTCATTCCCTAGAAATGATATTTTCAGTTGTGAGGGCACTATAACGGAGAAATTAAAATCACTCATGATTCTATCAAACTTTTGACAGCATTGTCAGTTTTGGTACATTGACCTTATGATTATCATTCAGGATCTTGGCGTTCTTGACCAGTCTTGGCCACTTGCTGATCTAGATTTTCCGCTGTCCCTGGATTGTTGTGTAAGTACCATGAATCAGTCAGTCAAATTGGAAACATGAAGGCATGGTAGTCCAGTGGTAGGACGCCGGGCTCATGACCGAAGGGTTGCGGGTTCAAGTCACGGCACGGCACTGTGTTGTATCTTTGAGCAAGATACTTTCCTCCTCTTGTTCCAATCTACTCAGCTGTAAGTGAATATGTGGGTGGGCAGTGCTACAATGTGTTGAATGCTAGCTGAAATGGCAGCACCGGCTGTATGATCCCAAGGAAGTTGAGAACGATATTGGCTGGTTGCAAAGGCCCTATAACCATGGATAATAATTTGTGAACTGCTTGGAGACGACCTTTGAACTAGGTTGTGGTGAAGTGGTATATAAGAACTTTAAATTAATATTATTAATCATTATTGTTGTTAGGTCATCATGGTGATGTAATAATTATTGTAGATTGCTTATATTTTAGAGGTGCTGGCCTCTTACTTATTGGTGATCATTTTGCTCGTTTCATTGAAGGTCAACATAATTTATGTTGTTTACATGAATAAGAAGCACACAATAAGTTTCCTAATGAATGAAGGGCATTCTAAATTGTCCATTGATGTTAGAAAAAAATGCTGCCAGCATTGTCGCATTGTGATGCTAGCAGATATTTTATTATTGGTATTCTACATCTAAAATAAGTGTAAATGCATAAGGTACCAACAAAATAAAACAGTCAAATTTTGCAAAAGATCTTTGTCTTACTAAATTAACTCATTCACCCTAGGCCTGAAGACACGTTTCAACTCTTCCAATTCAAAGGTTGGAGTAGTTCATTATGAAATTTCAGGGGTGAATGAGTTCAGCAATAATAACCATCAAGGAAGTGTAGTGAAACAAAAATAGTTGTATGAACTATTTCATTATTGGTATTTTGTTTCTCCTTTCAGATAAACGAGGATGTTAAATTTCACCTGAAAATACCAAGGAAAGAATTAGAGCAGCTCTCTGAAGCCGATGCTATAGCCACAATAACTAGCAGCAAACAGTTCCAATCCTTCCTTGACAGGGCACCCGAGCCCACTGGTTTTACCATTGACCGCGGATGTAATGGTGTTGTAACATTTTCTTCTACTACTGTGCAAAGGAATAAAAGTAAAACCTTTACAAAGAAGAAAAAGAAATTAAGAAAAGAAAAAGATTCAACCATTGAACAGTGAAATTGAATATATGGATATGTGTCGTTTTTGTTTCAATAAAAATGTAACTGAAGTATTGAACTTGTCTGAAAAAAACTTGTTTCTTATTAAATTTGTCTCCTTTGTTTGGCAGAGAACTTATGATATTATCACCTATTCAATTAAATATTGGCCAATTAAGTGGTAGAAAAGTCCATTAATGGAAAGTACTGGTAAGATGAAGAGACACTACAATACCGGCTTTCATTTAAATTTTACCTGTATATTCCTTTAATCTCAAAAGCCTCCACCATCAAAACTTGGCACATCCTTGAATGACCATATAGCTGTTAATACGACATAAAACACAAACAAACCAATTAATCTCAAAGCAAACAATAAGGAAATGAATAAAACATATTCATTTTTTGGTCTTGACAAATATGTTATGGAAATATCACAAATTTTATGAAATTTTCCTTAGTTTCAACACCAGATTTTGTAATTTAGACACAAAGAAAAATATCGTTACTGCATGATAGATTTGTTTTGTAAATATTCAGTCAGGCCAAACAAACAATATTTGGTGTTTCCATTAATCCTACCTACCCTTGTTTTTTTGTGCCTTCTCTAAACTTTGTAAGGCAATTTCAAGGAAGCACTGTTAAAGTCAGGATCACTCTCCTGCATAAACCATATAAAACTGTTTGTTAAAATAAAATGTGTTACCTACCTACCTACACTAAATTTTTCGTACATGTTACCGGAAACATATTTTTTGTCTGGCCTTATGTACATTTATACGACTCTAGGTACCATACTAGTGGACTTATCAAGACCTGTTATGTTCCATGTTACACGCTTAATATTATCTAAGGAAACCATTTGCAGAAATGTAATATCCTCAGTGTATTTGTTTTTAAAATGTAAAACAATATACTCATATGGGTACACTAACCTGAAATATTCTATTCCACATAATCGGTTTCTCAATTTATACTTTCTTACTTCTTTCTCATTTCGTTTAGCTGTCTGTGTCAGCTAAGAAACTCCAAATAACACCTGAAAAACAGTATTCTTTCTCAACTGTTAAAAAAAAGGGATGTTTTCACATTTTATTTAAATTCAGGAGTTGATTGGGTTTTCTTATAAGAACTAAGATGGTGCCAGACTATTGACTTAAACAAACAAAACAGCAAATTATGAGTTTCATTCATGTTTAATTTAACAACTTTAAACAAAATGCAAATATCGTACAACAAAAACTACCTGGAAAAGAGTGAAAAAAGATGGATGGCTTGTAAAGAAATCAAAACATGAAAACTGTAATAGATTAGCCCAAAGATCACTTAGCAGTGGCGGATCCAGAGGGGTTCTTGGGATTCAAGAATCCCCCCCCCCCCTGAGAATTTTCCTTCAAAAAAAAAACCCACATGGAAAACTTTTCTATTTTTTAAAACGTTTTTAACAAATTATGTCACCTAAATCAAAAATTAAAGAAATTTAGTATTATGCCAATGACTTGTTTTTGACTTGATATTTATGTATCTCAAATAATGCCAAAATGAGAGATCTCCTGATGTGATACAAAATAATACACCTGTTTGAAAATTTAGTTCTAATCATTATATCGACCACTGGACCAATGCAGCATTTTCATTTTAATATAATACAGGCTGAATCTAGTAAAATTACCACCTGACATAACATGAATTTGAATAGGTCGGAACAGTTTATACACACTGCTGGAATTATTTATCAGTCAAAATAAAATTTAAAAAAACGGCCGGACTTTTAGTCTTCAATGAAATAATCTTAATCCAGTTGCCGAACTATAATTGTAAACATTATATATATTGAATAACTGGTAATAAATCTGAATTCTGTTTTCGATATATAAGGGTACACTATCCATATATATACACACAGAATTGTAAATTAGGTAAACCCTGTTATTGAAGGGAATATGCCATATGTAAGATCAAATACTTCGCGTCTAATAGAATGAAATACACATCTGTTACTGAGAGCACACATCGTTATAAGAAGTTTTGTGATGGTCCTTCACACGAAGATAGACAAGGCATTGTACTCAAAGCTTAGCAATGTGATGTATATGCCAAACAGTACAATTGTTGTATTTGAAAGTGTATATAAGTAACCAGTGCTATAGTATTCTCCAATCTACACAAGTAAAAAAACAGTTAGCATAGAATGAATGAATGTGAAACATGAATGATTATTAATTTGATTAACAAGCAATGCCGAAATTTATATTCATCTTAAGCCTCAAATTGCAAGAGCTACTTTGTGCGTATGGATATATTTAACTCATTTACCACTGAAGACACATTTGAACTCTTCCAATTCAAAGGTTGGAATAATTCATTATGAAATTTCAGGGGTGAATGAGTTAATGAAAGTTTTTTAGCCTGGGTGAAATATATCCATTAGGGCAATAAAGGAGTGCAATCTGAGATATCTGTTTAACACGTATATGTGGCATTGCTTTTATTACATATCTTCGTTTGTTCTACGTATGTATATTCTATTTTCTGTAAATATTTCCTCATCATTACCCTGTGTTAATCGTCAACATGGTTACTTAACTTTAAACGATAACCAATTGTGGATAAAACGACGCAGAAACTGTATATAATGTGATTAATGACGTATCGGTATTATAGCGTACAGTGGCGCTACAACGTTCGGAAACTTTCTTGTTTAAACCGATGAGTTCTGGCCAAAAAAGTATCTTGTAGCGACACAATGCAAAAGTATGTGTATCTAATAAATATGCCTAAAAATATGCAATAAGTCAATATTTTGTTATATTTTAATTACAATGATTATATAATGAATAAATGAAAGTATTTTGTGCCTATACATATGTATTGGAAATTAGCCAATAAAGTGTCTGCCCTGATACGGAAGTAAATTTGTTCCTGAAACATTACAAATTCTTTTTCTAAATAAAAGCAAAAGATGTAAACAATCTGATGGAATAACAATGAACAATAGTTTGGTATATATGAAACTTAGAAAAACTACATTTCTCTTTGTACAGCGACAACATTTCACACGCGAAGAAAAAAGACAGAAACTCAATACGTATGATTCAGCAACATTTCCAAAGCGAACATTTCCACATTGTGGATATATTAAAAGATTAAATAGCACGAAACTGTCCACTGTTAGCAAACGCTGTTCAAATTCTGATGGTAAATGGGACTTTATTGCATTGGTGTTTTTTTGCAGCCACATTACAAATAATGAAAGTGTAAAAATATCTAATTATGTGATTTTTGAATGCGTTTTTCTTGATTTTAACAACAACAACAACGAAAGTACAAAAATTGAAAAAAAAGATATCATACACCAAATACCTATGATCAAAATGAACTAAAATCAAAACGTAACGGGAGGATTAACGAAAAATGAAATAAGGGCAAGGAGAAATATAAGACCCGATATTCATGGACTAAGTTAAATCAATAGGACACATCCTCACATCCTCACAGCGATACACCAGTAATGCACACAATCACAAAACATCGAACCAAACTCCTCATAAAGAAGTCGACATTTTACTTTGACATAATGATCGTACAAACAGCACACATTCTTTACCGGCCTGCGGCATCTTTGGCAACTGTGTATTGCAAGTTATGTCCATCAGCAGTCGACACCTTTCACGGAAATCCTGATGTTCGAGACGAGCTTTTGAATACCGAATAAACTGCGAAATGCGTTAGAGATTCTATTTGTAAACATTGTTAATGTAGTAAACCGAATTTCTCGTGGATTCGCAAATTCAGCAAGTTTTTATTTTAGAATTTCGGCCGTTCCAGAGAAACTCTTTGTTAAGCTACTGGAGTTAAAACGTCGATCAGACGTTGTTTTTCTTGTGTTATTCCTCAAAATGCACTATACAGTTGGCTAAAATGAGAATGTGATTTTGTGAGATTACAGTTTTCTAAAAGTGGAATGTGTTTTTGTTAGAATTATTTGCAATATCATGGAAGACTTGAAGAGAGATAATTAAATGGGATATACGACCTGTTAAATTCTTTGGAAAATTTAATATACAATTACCAAAAAACGAATCCACGAGAAACGTAAAATTGATCGCAACACATGTCCTTAATACGGGTTGTATTGAACTTAAAACACTTAGATACAGTCGGTAGGTAAAAATATATGAATTTGTACCGATACCATGCCAAATTTACCAATAGAAAAGACGCGTTAGTGATTAAATAGGGTCAGTAATTCATCATGACTTAGAACCTTGTCTTTTATTAGTGATATGACGAAAAAGGTTAACCAGATCTCCGAACACAATCACCGCGAAAACACTTATCAACACGCCAGCGCCAAGAACAATACCAACACCTTTTGCACTTACGCGCTCGTCGGGGGCACTAATGTATTTGCGGATATACGATGACGTTTTTGTTTTGTCCACGGTCAGTTCTCTTTGAAGTGCTTCTATTTTTTCTTCAAGTGACATATTTCCTATAATGGTGCAACGACATGAGCACATGGCCCCATTTGAAGTCGTGTTTTGAAATGGCGCTGTAGTTGTCAATACATTCGTTGTTGTTGACGTAGTTGTTGATTGTGACGAAGATGTAGTTGTTGGCGAGGTACTTGTGGTTGGTTGTGCTAGAGTTGTGGTAAATTGTGACGTAGTTGTGGTTGGTTGTGACGTAGTTGTGGTTGGTTGTAACGTAGTTGTGGTTGGCTGTGACGTAGTTGTGATCGTTTGTGACATTGTTGTGGTTTGTTGTGACGTAGTTGTGGTTGTTGGTGACGTAGTGGTGGTAGTTTGTGACGTAGTTGTGGTTGTTGGTGACGTAGTTGTGGTAGTTTGTGTCGTGGTTGTTGGTAACGTAGTTGTGGTGGTTGTTGGTGACGCAGTTGTTGATGATGTAGTTGTGCTCGTTTGTGACGTTGTTGTGGTTGGTTGTGACGTAGTTGTGGTTGTTGGTGACGTAGTTGTGGTAGTTTGTGTCGTGGTTGTTGGTGACGTAGTTGTGGTTGTTGTTGGTGACGCAGTTGTGGATGACGTAGTTGTCGGTGATGTAGTTGTGGTTGTCGGTGATGGCGTTGTAGTTGATGTTGTGGTTGTAGTAGCAGCAACTGGATTACATTGCGCCACGGGGCTGTCTGACGATGAAGCGGTGGTGCTAGGAATTGAACTCTGATCGATCTTTGGATCTGAAATTTCAATGTAAGAAATATTTAAGTGGGTGTCATTGTCAAAACATGTTACGTAATAAAAGTGAACGATCTTGTTGCCTTTCTAAACTGTTTGAAATGACACACAATTTAAAACATGTATATCTTAAATAAAATGAAATAGCATTTGCCATTTTCTCAACAACACACAATGCAACGTTCATAATAATATTAGGAAATGTAAAGAGAAACAAGAACCCAATGGCCTTAACGGTCACTGAAGTTAAAATTGTATTTGTTGTCATTATGAACGTCTTTTTGAAATGTTAGTTAAGCATTAAACTGTTACCAGATGCAGTATACAGTCGATATTCATGAATGCAATTTGAGTGACAGATACATATTCATGTCGCCCGTTACTATACTGCATCTGGTAACAGTTCAATGCTTATATTTACATTTATATAGTTGGTTTTGTATAGTAACTGAAGCAAAAATACGTTTCAATTTCCCGCTTATCATATCAGTGATGTCAGTAAGTTCAAGAAGAAATAATATAGTCCCTCGTGTCATTGCAAACCACACGCACATAAAATGGTTTGAACACAAACTTAACTTTATAATTTATTTCATATGAGTGTGTATATGTTGAAAAATGGTTGATAACTGCATAACTTCTGCTTGTTTAAAATTAAAGCGGTTTTTCGCACATTGATAGATTACATGTAGGTATTTGGAAGTGATGCGGCGCTGAACGGGCTTGATTGTTTCCTCGGAAACGCTTATGTTTCCATCGACTGGAATATACTCGGATTTTTTTAATTAAACTGGTCCTTTCAGTAGGTGATAACGATTCCACGGACATTTCGTTTGAAACAGATTCCATCTCTAATCAGTCAGATTAGCATCGCTAGCAGACGAGGTCCAGTAGGTGATAACGATTCCAAGGACATTTCGTTTGAAACAGATTCCATGCTTAATTAGTCAGATTAGCATCGCTAGCAGACGAGGTCCAGTAGGTGATAACGATTCCAAGGACATTTCGTTTGAAACAGATTCCATGTCTAATCGGTCAGATTAGCATCGCTAGCAGACGAGGTTCACATGGGCTCGATTTCGTGATTTTGAGTAATGGATGACATCACTGAAGAACCTAACACTTAAACAGGTAAGATACCCTCGACTTTTACATGGTTTTATAAATGCTGAATTTTAGTGTTGTGGTTATTCACTGATGTTATGCATAACTCAAAATCTCGAAACCGAGCCCATGTGTGATGACGTTTACAAACTTGGTAATTTCGTATCTAGAATGGCGCTTACAATAATTTTGTGGTACCTACACATCTTATAATAAATTCATATTGTCATAATTTGTCAAGTTGCTTTTTTTTGCAATGACCTACATTGCAAAATGCTATCGAACCCAGAAAGTTCTCTGACTATAGGCCTATTGATACTGAAAGTATCTGGTGGCCTTGTATAGACAGTCTCATATACTGGAATTTGGTTTACTAACAACATATAGGCAAATGCAACACCATCAAACGGCAATCACATGAAAATATTTCCAACCAATGTTAAATTATTTCCCAATAAAAATGAACAAAATATACCCAGTGGTGAACAGACAAACAATAATGTTGTTCACTGTGTAGTAGAATCACTGGAACTGTATTATCCTAGCAACCGGCTACCGAGTTACCATCGTAGCAACCCGCCTCGACGTCTTCCCTTCGTTTCTAGCATTTTTTTTAAACAGATTTTGGATGTAAATACAAGGATTGACCTTCATTTTGACTTCGTTAAAGATAGTATGAACGCAGCTGGCAACGAACATAATCTTCACGAAGCGCACCTTATAATGCGTTCGTTGCCAACAGCGTATACACCGTCAAAATGAAGGTTAAACATTATGTTAACCTCAGTTTAGGTTTGCCATAGGAGTTTTGTTTTTGTTTTTTGTTGCCTACTGAAGTTAACATTTATTTACACGTTGTTCTTCCTGCAAAATTGTTTTAGGGAAATTGGTTCACTTGTTTTATGAGGTGTCAAAAATGTGAATTGTTCACAGACGCACGACGGAAACGGGCAATCGCAATAGGACAAGTGTAACGCCGTCTCGGGTGACCTTAAACATCCTGATTTTGATGATTAAGCTGTCATGCCAAATCGATTAAACCGAAAAGCTTAAAAACAAGGAATACGAGTGGAAAAATTATAATGATTGATGATAATATTATTGTTTGCCGCTATAATGAAGGGTTTTTTTGGGTTTTTTTGTTGTTGATGAAACCGGGTTTATAGAATAAAAACTGTTTGATGCTGTGGAGCAAAATTTAAAAAAAAAATCTTTTCAAGTGAGGAAGTTGACCAGTGGAACATGAATAAAAACATATACACAAATTAATATAGATGTACGTTTTGGTCACTTGTCCTTGGAGTTTTCTTAAACTGGTAGTATATACTTGAAAAATAACTGCAAGGTTTTATTGAAATAAGGCGGAAATCTATGTTTAAAAGAATGATAAATTTAGCGAGACTGTATATATTAAATAATACATTACCTTTAAAACATCTTTTCCAGCTGACGAAGCTATCAGAGCCTTGACTGTTGATATCGGCTTCACTGCATCCACTGCTGTATTTAGAATTTCCAACATCAAAGTCATAAGGTTTTCGACTTATCGATGGGGAACACGCGCGGCTGGTCTGGACGTAGGTTACTGCCCAACACTCGCCATTAGTCGTATCGTCGGCATTTATGTTTGAACAGTACTGTTCACAATCATCCCGGTCGGCTACGTTTTTCATAAGCGCCGTGTTAGTGACTTTCGAACATGCCCCAGAAGTTGTGCCTCTTTCGTATGTACATGGTCCTAAAACAGCATGAAAAGAATATGAAAATAAAAAAAACAGAAATAGAATTAATCAGCTATCGATATTATATACATGTATATTTATATATCGCTCGATATTATTTTCAATATGAAATGACTGTGTTATTAAAATATTTTTGAAATTTTAGAGCACAAAATGTTTTTTCCTTTTATAAAAGGCAACATTTCAGCCTCCCAAGCAATTGGTTATATGTTAATAAGAAACTTATCATTTGTTTCTTCTAATTACTTAGTCACCAGTTGAAAGAATATAACTTTCAATCTCTCCTCTCTACCCTACTTGCGCGCATTGTCTTATTATAAACGGGAAAGTTTTTATTCTTTCACAACTATAGACTCTTCGAAATTGCATAATATAAGTTGTAAACATCTTGGAAACGGAAACAACTACTCTTTACATTAATCATTGAAATATCATTGCATTGTTGCAATGTCATAAAGATGTATTATATGACTTATCGATCACATTCAGATACTCGCAGTTAAGATCGACCCTTTCCATTATAAATATTAAATGACTTGCGCGCATTGTCTTATTATACACAGCATTTTTTTTTCTCTATGATCTATGATCTCGTCGGGAGTTGACTGTATATGGTCAAGAGTATTGTTTATTGTAGTTATTGGTGGCAAAATTGGTTTAGGCATATTGTCAGGTATGGTGCACTGTTCAGAAAAATATTTGTTAAAAGCTTCTGACTTTAACCTATCATCAGAAATAAGTTCGTTATCCAAAACAAGTGAGGGTATAACTGTATCAGATTTCTTTCCCATTAGAGCTTTAGATATCGACCAAAATTGCTTGTTGTTAGAATTGCTGGTAATGAGTTTGTTAAAATTTCATTCGTTGTAACGTTTATTTGCATTTTTATTAGCACGGTTTGCCTTCCTACTTGCGAGAAAACACTTAATCTGTCCATATCACTTTTGGTTCGTTTGAAACGCCGAAAAGCCCTATTTCTACGTCTAAAAAACTGTCGTACATCATTTGTCATCCACGGCTTATCACGGGTCGGATAGTGACTATTTTATTTGATATGAAACTTCTACATGTATTCATAATGAATTTGGTGGCATTATCAACTACGTGAACACAACCACTTATTATCAAAATAAGAAACATAAAGAAAATGCATGTTATAATTATACTTTGCTCAAATCGAGTACAAACTGTAGGATTGTGGACTGAATACTTGACGTCTGCGCTACTTGAGGATAAATGCTTGTGAATCTGAATATAAGGATTAATTAATGAATTCCAAGCACCGATTGAACAGCGATATTGGCTAACATCAATCATTAGAGTTGGAAACACAGAGAGAACAAGAAGCAAGGGAGAGGGAAAGGAGGGAAGAAATAGAATGAAAAGGGAGAGTTGTTCTACAAGAGTGAGCTCAAAACTTGTATACTCAGAAGTACAATTTATACAATTTAAAATATACGACAATGTCTACCACCATTATAGTGAATCAATTTGTTACATTATACGCTGTAAGTGAGCTTAGATACATCGATGATTTGACATCGCTATAATTACGATCGAGGTGGATACCGAAAAAATGTGTACCACGATGTTACTCTAAAGTGTCATATTATGCTTTGAATGAACGTATAAAAGTATCAGTACCAGGCGATCCAAGAAAAAAGATTTACGGTACAACAAAAACAAAATGGAGATCTAAGATCACGTTACGTTAGGAAACCAGTTAGGTAAACAATTAAAAAAGGTTAACACACAAAATCATCATGAAAACATTTACAACTTGATAAGCATGTGACACATTATACATATCTGCCTAGGAACCATATCAATTAAAGTCATAGTTGTGTAGTAAACTGTAAAAGACTCCAATTTCACGGGGAATGTAACTACGTAAAGGCATTTGAAGTGGTAGAACTGGTGGAGACTATGTACAACAATGAAGCTATCAAGTCTCATTTTAACTGACCATGCTTAATACCATCAATAGAATATAGGCCCTGGTAAGAGAATAAGTGTATCGCCACAACTTTAAATTGTAAAACGTGAAATTCGAGTATAATATCTGAGGCCATACCCCTACCGAACGACTATGGTAAGCATTTAAGAAAAAGAGTATCGTGAGATTATATACACCATGGTAAATACATATGTGGCATGTAGTGCTAGCAGAGTTTAAAAGGAAATTTCCTTTTTTTTTTCTTTTTTTTTAAATCAAGTAGTATGCTCATATGCATCGCACATCATTTCTAAGTTACATACGAAAAGGAAGTAGAATAGTAACTACTTAATTTTAACGGCACAACCTCCTACCACGCCTTTGATATTTTACAGCAAATGGCGCTACCTGATTGGTCAACTACCCAACGATTAAGGGACCGGTAGTAAAATGAAATCGTTTTCCTGTTATCTCATTGTGTCGTAATGGCCAAATTTGAAAACTTAAAAACAATGTCTTCCAAAAGGTCATTTCCTTGTTATGATACTATACTAATGTGCTGTTATATTATGACGTTTCAGGTCTACACCTTGTTTTCTAAATTCAAGATTCAACAGTGCGATTCGAATGTTCAAATTCATATACATATAACTGTTACAGCTCTAGTGTAAGCAGTATTCTGGTGTTTGTTGAATTACGGCAAAAATATGTTGATGCCAATTTTATCTAAATTCTTGAAAGCTATACTGTCAAAGTATCCAGTTAAATATTGGGAAACAATGCCAATGGATATTCCGTCCAAGTGTTCTTTATTCTTTGTCAAAAATCTTGAACGGAGTCGGAGGTCCCATATGGGTTTCCATACAATACTGTTTAAAAATCAAAATCGTCCTTTCAAAAGCTGTTGTATTTTCTGTCATTGGATATAACTTAAATTCTACTGCATTTTATGATAGCATCGCCCTCTGTAGAATTAGACAATAAATACTTTGGTTTTAACAATATTATGTTCCTTATGGTATATGATTTGAAGCGGCACAAAGCGCGTTAGCGGTAAATACGCATTTGCAATGTTACCACTCACGGGTTTAAAATGCACTCTGAAACTTACTGTGTGATTTAAAGTATTGAGTGAGCAGCATTCTCGAACTGTACATTGATTTCTGTATAAATACTTTCCATGTAAGTCTTGGGCATCTTCTTGAAAACTTATAGTCTCATTATTAAGAGATATATTTGGTTCTCAACAAGTTGGTGAGTCCGACAGGGAAAGTATGAGTCCTTGGCCCGTATTCATGAAAATATTCCCATTTTCTAATTCAGACGTTAACATTGAAAACGGTATTTTGCTTAAGCCACTGACAAATTAATTAAAGTTCGACACAACAAAGAAATTGGTCAGTAGAACAGAATCTTGTTTTGAGCATGAGAACGATTTCAGTAATACGGCACCTGGAATATCACTGAAAATAGTCACTTCATCGATAAATCGAATTTCAAAGGCGAGGTTGATATAGAAGTGGGCCGACAAGTAACAAGATGACAAGCACAAAACACCCATTAGTAGGCGTAATGATATAAAATATATCACCGTTTAGTAGGTTCACATAGCGAGTTACAAATGATTGTCCCATATCTAATGTATCCTCTTGCTAAAAGGCGAAAAAGGTGACAATGAACACCTTTGCCTTTTTGTATCCGAGTCCTTTTAAGACTGCATTTTGAACTAAACATACCGAGATTTTTCTGACATATTGCCACGTAATTGATGCTGCATTTTTCGAACCGCCACTCTAGGGTATCTTTCTTGGCTGTAGCACACCTCTTGGTGCTGTCAAGGTCACTTCTGGATGGAGGAGAACCCTCAAAGTGATTGTAAAGGTTCGTTTGCGCAACCGCACAACTTCCGTCCCATCGGTATTCTTGTGTGGACATGTTCTCTATATATAATCCAAGCCAATAGTCATTTCCCCTTAAACGAGAAGGAAAAAAATGCATTGAGTTGTGTCAAAAATCCTTTTCCGAATAAATGTTCATAGTAGAATGTAAGACTTTTTGTATATACATTTTAATTTGCGTTTATAAAACAATGCACACACTATAGAGTTTATATTTTTTCGTGACTTTTGCGAAATTTGAACATAAAATTTAAGGGTGTTGATAATGATGCAACAACTTGTGTCTAATCTTTTGGTAAACAAATCTACAGAATGCTAAAACAAAACTGAATGATTTATATTTTTTTCTATAACGATTATATTGAAGGATCGCAGATATTGTCATTATGTTTTAAAGTGGTATCTGTGCTTTAAAAACACGTTTACTCATTTGTTCAAATGAAACTATAATGTTATTGCGCCCCCTCAATTTTTTTTAGGAATAATACATGTAATCAGTATATCATTTGAATAAAAAATATTTAATCATTAGTACATTTTTGTTTAAACCTTTATGCTAGAATGTTTGACGTATGTTTTTCATTTTATACCCCATTTCGTTTTAAATGAACTCAATGTTTGTGATTAACGTTCAATTACTGCTTAGATAAAGATAGATGAAACAAAACTGCCAGGACGTAATAATTGTTGATGTTTACATTACATCTAGCACAATAAATCAACAACTTAACACAATATCAGCGACGACATTATGTAGTGGTATGTCGTTTGACGTTTTCATAATAAACTGTTTTTGTTCAACGTAACCGTTATTTCTTGACTTGGAAATTCCGATGCTGTGACGGTTTGTATTCCCTCGTGATGAATTCGTGCAAAGAATTTTGTGTTCAGTATCAGTATTTTCGGGCGGAAGATGTCCTAGCTTATTTTAATGCATATCATTTCCATGTTTGCGAACACCTCAAACGAATTTTAGTTTCAAGGTGTAAGATGAATGTTATTTTTTTTGTCATCATTGGCGATTCATTTGACAATAATGAAGTATTGTAAGAACTTATTTGTGTGTCGGGGTGTTACAGCTGCAGTTTAGGCCTTCCTAAACTATTTTTAGAAAATATTTTTATACTAATTTTGAAAGCCTGACTGAAGAAAACTAAACTTGTACACGAAGATTACAGGTACAATTGAACTACATTATCATAGAATAAAATTGCTAGATATGTATATCTCACACCTCAGACAGAGATAACCCATGTCATACTACATGTCAGACTTTTCTATCTCGTCCGTTCTGTCTGGTACCATTACGTGACATTTCGCGAAATCTTTACGCAGCAATGTACTCATCCGCGCGTTTACGGCTTGAAATTGATAATCTGCATTAAAAATATTTTCTCAGTCTCGGGCTAAGATTCAGTAACATCCCAACTTCGGCTTACGCCTCGGTTGGGATTATGTTATAGAATCTTATCCCTTGAATGAAATAACCCGATCTCGCTGAATTAAAGGTAATAGAGTGTATCAGTACTGCTGGCATGATGTAAAGTACTCGTATACTCCCCCTTATAACGACCTGTTGTGCACGCAAAAGTATTTGTTTTAATTGTGATGCTTTGTATTCGTAGAAGTAGGGAAAATTCAAAAAGGAAGTTTGAATAGGGTCTGAAAACAAAGAAATTAACGTTTATTTGACAATGGCTGGATATTTACCAGTTACTTGACCAGACTCCATTTGAGTATTTGGCTACCATTTCCTCTGTAGCGTGCGAGGAATGCTCTAGGAGGCCACTATAATGAGCGGAACAGTACGAAGCCGCAGCATTCCAGTTCGTGTCTTGTGGGAGGAATATAAACTGCCGCTTCTGCGTTGTTGGAGGGTACGCTGAAAATGCTCATACAATAAATAGTTTTGTTTTAACAATTATAACGTATATAAAAACTAAATAAGGAAATATAAAATAAGAGGTAAGAAATATACATATCTATAATTTGTTAAGACAACATATTAACAATTTAATGCAGGAATATTAACATATCGCAATTTTGTCAATAGGTTGTTTCTTTTAGTTCTAGAGATTTTTGGATATGAATTTTGTTTTGTTTATGCCATTGTCTTGGTGTATCTGATTAAATTCCACGATAAATTGTATTTACAATCGACATCTTTCTTTGCAAACAAAGTTGGTGTATTATATAAATATTTGCATTATATGAAGACACTTTTTGGTATGTACTTTTTAAGTGCATTTCGTGTTATCACACAATATACCAATATAGATAAGACATGGCAGCAAATAATATAATTTCTCTGAATTTACATTAGTAAGAAATCGATAAACTTGCAGGATCTCGGAAATATATCAAGGACGTTTATTAAACAATTGTTCAAAAGAACATAGGTCTAGAAATGTGTTTGTCGTTAATGAGATCATGACAACAGATTAAAAAATGAAACCTCGACCCCACTTAAGAGCAACAATGAAAGAAAGACTAGGTGTTTATCCCTTTCATTAGCGGATTATTTTTTAACATTCAACTGATTTATCTGAGTTTTTGTATATGAACAGAAATGAATCTGCACATGACACTGTTTAAATACACTTTAAGGATAAAACACCTGAAAAAAACTCTCAAAATGTGTGAACAATATGACGGGGGTATACAATGAAGCGCTGACACAATTACACTATAGTTTGTACAAGTTAGGCAGATGTAAATAATGACTGCTCAGTGATTAGGCTACTTACCTGGAATTACGGTATGTGACATGCAAACAAAGGCGACAATCAATACCTGAATCTGAAATGTTAATAAATATGATTAATTATCCACATTCATGTTATCAATATTACACGTGGATAAGCAAAGTAAACGGCAAAACTCAAAAGGTTAATTAAACTCCTATCCGTACAGCGTTTGACCTTTTGGTAACCTTTGTTTTTACGTTTGTTTCTTCAGCTACAGTGGATTGTCGATAAACCTGCCTCGTTTGTTCCCAGAAGATATTGTTTGTTTGTGTGTTCCCTGGATTAGTGGGGTTAATAAAAATTAAAAAAATGTCGATATGTCCCTGAAGCACTAGGAGGTAAACGGAACAACCGGGTATTGGCGAGATTAAAAAGGATCAATAATACTCAAACCTGGACCAAGGTTCATGAAATAAATATTTAGACCAGCTACTGATGTTATGTCGTGTAAATGTAAATACTGTGATCATGGACTTTTTAACAAATTTTGAAGTGATTTCCAAATATGTATTATTTATTGGCTTCTGAAAATTTGGATATAGTCCAAGACAATTTGGAATCTCGTTCCTGTTACCGTTAACATGTACTATCTACATGTCTCATAGAAGCAGATACATTTTCTCATCAAAGTAGGATAGTTAATCACAGCATGTTAATGCTGTTGACGATTCACCATTTTTCATAGTATGTGAATTCATATACAAAACATATTTTCAATACAAAAACTCAGTTTATACAAGAGCGTGGTTGTCTTATTTCTGACATTAGAAACAGCATTTTTCTCGTTGCTTATTAGTAATGAGACAATGACTTGATACGATATTAATAAAAAAAAGGAGCACGGGAACAAATACCTGAACTCCGATTGTCTTTCACCATCCGTTGTACTAGACGCAAGGCGTGTATTGAATGTTGCTTAACACATAAAATGTAATGATATTTCATCCTCCATTTACATGTGTGCCTACTGTACAGGAAACAGAAGTGTGTCATCGCCAAGGAGAGATAGCATCGTGCAACTCTGCACCAAAATAGCCGGCGTGATGACGTGACGTCATTCCACAATATAAAGGAACAATAAATATCATCAAAAGAAAAATTAAAAATGTGTCGCCACCAGTTCACGACTTGGAACCACATTTGGGAGTCAGGAGAGACACAGAATACAGCTGCTGATAACCATTGTTTTGGAACTGAATCCTCTAAGTGACTCTATACCAGAGAAATATCAACCATCGGGATTTTTTTTTTCTTTTTTTTTTTTAAACTTTTGGTTTGAAGCGAATCTCCAGTTTGTCTATCTAGGATACCACCTTCAGGTTGAGCTTTATTGTCAAACTAATGAGAGATGACAAGAACAGTTAACGAACCGAAGTAGAAACAACCCCATGGGGTTATGAAAACATGGTGGTCGGTTGATGCAGTGGATAGCGCACTTGCCTTTCATTAAAACGGCCAGGGTTAGATTCCCCGATCGAACGTGAAAAGGTATTGGGTCACCTGCCCGACCACGTGGGTTTTTCTTTGGGTACACCAGTTTCCTTCCACATTTAGACTTATGCGCGATAAACACCCGGGCCTATAAGAGTGATAAATGTCATTTATATAACTGGTTTCTTGGGAAAACCCACTTAAAAGAAAAACAAAACAAAAGAACTACCAGTTGGTTATCCCATTCAACAAAAGCATAACAGCTTATGTATATCAAGAGCACTAAATCTGCCTACGACACAACATCCCAATACACGCTTGGGATAAACACATGAAAAAAGTCTAAAAATGAACAAAAATTGAATTCTCGCATGAATCATTTTCCAACCGACTGAATGTACTTGTCGATTCTATAGAAAACTCGTACACTGATAAAACGCTGAGAATACTCATACACCTCAATATTGTTTGACAAGCATTAATTAAGCCATTGTTAAAAAAACGATTATATTGCTATATCCATCATCATTCGACCTTAACAATATACTCATCGCTTCCTTCCTTTGCTGAAGCCAACCCGATTACAGTTGTCACTCAGTATGCCCTCTATGTAATCATATATAATCATCATGCCTGCTGAGACAGTTCAACTCGTGATATTCATATCCCAGAATGGTTCATTGGACTTTCTATGGCTACAGGGAATATATTATCAAATTATTTCGTGTGTGACAGTTAATCAATGTTAATCAGAAGAGATCTTAATACTAAACAATGTATATATGTTAATACATTATTCTACTTTTATATTCAATATAAACAGAAAAAACGACCGAAGGGATAAATCAAACTTCATTAAAGGAGTACTATAAATCAACACACGTGACTCTTAAATGCCACACGTGCGTGTCCATTGTGTGCTACTTAATCGCAATATTTGGAATATAGCATGTTATACATGCTCGGCATGTACAACTTTAAGTTGGCTCTCTCACATTTTCGGAGGTAGTATGAAAACTTCGGTAAATATTATATCGGAAAGTGTCGTTGTTTCCCGGGGACGTATCAAACTCCTCGTTACATATCATCTCGGACACAAGGTTTGTCCGGGGGCTGTGTGAAACAGTTCTATATAAATATCATCTCAGATAAGCTCGGTGTTTCCAGCGGGAGAGGTTCAGGGACCGCGGTGACAAAGTGGTTAAGGCGTCTGACATTCTGCTACCACTAGCCCTCCACCGTTGGGTCGCGGGTTCGAGGCCTACGTGGGGCAGTCACCAGGTACTGGCCTTAATTCGGTGTTTTTTTCTCTGGAAACTCCGACTCTCCTCCACCACAAAAACCTTGAACGTCATTAAATGACCATAGCTGTTAATAGGATGTAAAACACAAACAACCCAATGATATTTCGGGTAGTCTCTTTTTTTACTATTTTCTTTGACATTCCAAGTAAATGTTTCCAATCGAAACTTGTTCGGGTTATTCCGTCACACTTCTGTAATAATTTCCGAGGTAACTATTAAAAACAAGACAAAAATGGCCCCTCTGATCGAGAAAAGAAACACACTTGCTGTTTCCAACTGCATGTATCGTGAGAGGCGTCTAATGTGTGAACCCCTTGCAGAATTGGGGACTTGGTTTTGTGCGCTCTACTTGGTGACACACAAGCAACCAAAAAATATCTGCTGCACCTATTGTAATAGTTGAGATATTGATATTTCTCTCTCCTTCTTACTTCCTTTTATCTCATAGCGCCTTACTTGGCAACACCTCACTTTTGTAAATGTTGAATGTTCGCCCAGGTGTGGAAGGCAATGGGTTCAGATCTGTGCTATCACAAGGAGGCAAGTACACCAACATACCCTTTTTCCGGCACAAATGTGCACACATGCACGCTTACACAACACAAATGGAGGTACGTCCTTAAATAACATTAGCTGTTTATAGGACGTTAAACAATATAAAACCAAACTCGTGAAACAATCTGTTTTTAATGTATCGTGAACCAAACTAAATCAGACAGAAAGAAAAATAGAATTTATATAAAAAAAAAACCCACTAAATTAAACATCAGAACTGTATGGGGAATTTAGTTCATTTTGGACCATCAAATATTAGAGTAGGCCTATAATACATATGCGGTTTTTGTTACAATTCATTTAATGTAAGAGGAAGTGTATTGCAGCTCAGAGGGTCTGTCGGTGTGCAGTTAAATGCTTTTGCTGTCGAAAGAATTTTAAATAACACGACCTCATACGTTTATAAAACAGTTTATTAAATGAGCAGGAAGAGATTATTCGATTAGATAATCCAAAAACGGATTTTCTGGTGACCTGATCTTCCAATAATTTGCAGAAAACATGTTCATATTTTGAGCTGCTTTCACAAGCCAGCGTGCAAAAGTGGCACATAGGATACTTTCAGTGTCATCAATAGCAACCCATGAAAAGCTAGATAGAGAACCGGTTTTGTTGAGCATTGCTGTTGCGTATCATTTCAAAGCAGTGAAGCTTTAAAAACAAAAATAGTGTTTTTTTTGTCTTATAAAAACAGCACTTCGTACTACTCTGGACTGAAAACAGTTTGTATAGCTGGTCATTGTGTTATAACTGTTTTTAGGTTTTACATAAAATAAATATGATTTATTGATTACCGTTATTTTTTAAACACCTTTTTGATCAAAATTGCTGACAAAATTAATGTTTGCGTGGCTTCACTATATCTTTTCACTTCATTGGCAAAGTCAGCGAGCAAAGACTTCAGTGTATGTCTTCATGCAACGTTGCTGTATTAACTACTGACTAGTACATATAACTTTATGTTGTAGTGCATTGCCCTACCTTTCTGTCTGTGTGACGTTTACTTCTTTATTCCAACATGACAAGAAAACAATCAACTATGAAATCATTACTGATAAGATATCGTTTATTCTGAACTGGTTAAGATCGAAAAAATATATATTAAAATGCTTAGATCGTTATCATATTAAACAGGAATATAGTAAAGTTTGTTTTATAGTGTGCTAAAACCTATTGGGTTTCTTTGATATTTGCTTAATATCCGGAACATGACGATGTTATATATTTTTTGTATTAATCTCCTAAACAAATCATATTAATAATGCATTCTTTGTGATACAGAGAATATCACACAAGGGAAATACTGTGCCTTTATGACGTGAATTATTTACTGTATAAAGAGACATAACATACATGGGAAAAAAACCAATCGAAGGTTATTTTGTAACGTTCGATGTACAGCACAACGTGTACAATGTCACCTTCATGGGAGGAATTTTACATGCACTAGATGTTGAAAATCTACGAAATGACAATTAAGCAGATGTGTGGGAGATAATTGGCCCCTTAAGCTCGATTCAGAACAGATCCACTGCGTATCTAGATAAATTCGTTGATCTGCTGCTTTGACAGGTGGATTCTCTGCTCACTTTTTTGAGATTATCCTAAAATTAAATAAAAGTATACTGTTTTGGGGTGTTGCCGCTTTATTCATACTAGAATGAAAAAATTGAGCTGCCAAGGCAGCACTTAACCTCAATACGAAAGATATTAAACTACCTTATTCCGATTTTAAATCTTGCCATTTTTATTAAAA